TTCAGAGAACCCGCAAATAAAAATAACCAATTGCTCTGAGTTGATAGATCAGATTGGTCCACTGGAATGCTGCTGCTGCCTCACCTACACAACTGTCACAACTCACCCAACTTACACAATCAAAGCAAACACAGACACACAGACATCACAAACACCAAGAGAGTAACACTTCTTGAACGACATAATCTCTCTCCCTTTTCTCCTCTCCTTACCTTTCCTCTTTCCTTTCCTTTCTCTCAAACACTGACTCGATACGACAGATGACAATAAACTGAATAATGACGTTATTCAATTTATTACTACTCATAGTTTTTGGCACTCAAATAAATTAAGTTATTTCTATCAAAGTTTGGTAGTCAATTTGTTTAGTCATTTGTCATAAAAGAAGAACAGTTTTATTTGGTGAACAAAAAATACTAGTGAAAACTCCGTCGATACTCTGCTTCAAATTGACGTCTCTTTGTATCTTCGCGCTTAAGGCGGTGCCTGAATTTGCCTCGATGAAAGCTGGGGGTGCTGGTCGCTGGTTGTGTTTCAGGCACCCTTTCAGGTTTTGCCGTTTGAGCTGGAAGGCCTATGCAGGCACGTCCTGGATTGGGTTGTGCCTGCACCGGATACTTCCGTCCATCTTCTCGGGCCCCCAGACCGGTGTAGCCATTCCAGCCCTCTCGTCGCAGCATTCGGTAGCCCATAAAGCGCGGATTGACGTGAGCGAAGCTGCCGAGGGCCCTCGTCTGTTCACTGCTAAAGTCATTGCTCTTCAGCTGGTGCGTTATGGAGAGCAGGTGAACGTCCCGTGACTGGCCGGTGACAGGTCCGCAAACTTCGCACTCAAAGGGAGCAGCTGCAGTTTGCAGGTTGACGGCTGCTCCGGGGATGCTGGTTTCAGGTTTCTCAGGCTGTGTAGTTGGAGCTTCTTTTTGTTGGTTTTTTCGGTTTTCCTCTTCAAACAGCTTCTCCATTACCCTGACCAGATGACCGTGACCAGACTTGCTAGCATGATCACTTGCGTTGAGGCTTTTTGAGTCAGTCAGTGCTGGGTCAGCGCCAGATTTGATCAGCAGTTCGACCACTCTTCGATGTCCTCCCGAGGCGGCCACCATCAGCGGTGTCCACTGAAACTGATCACGGGCGTTTACATCACCGCCGCCCCATGTCAGCCATTGTTTGCAGTGCTTCACCTCGCCATACTGACAAAACCTAAAGATGTCTTTGCTTTTAAAGGTAGGCTTAGGCACTGGTAGAGGTGGTCGACAAGTGGTGGATCTGGTTGTCCGTGTGTTCACTGAGCGTTGACTAGAAGTGGACGGCATGGACAGTACTTCTTGGTACATTTCGGATGCATTTGGTTTTTTAAGCTCATGGAGAGGTTCCTCGTGTTCAAGACTTTTGTTGAAAGTATCATTTTTGCTGTTTTCAGTAGCGGGAACAAAGTGGATAGCCAATTTGCGATTCATAATGACCAATATAAGATCAGATTAGCTGATATTTTTTCGTAACTTAACGCCAGTAAAAAAAGTGACATTTGCAATTGAATGAATAAAACATCCAAAAGATAATATAACTAGAATCAAAAAGTACACAATAAACTCGGCGATTTTGGCGTTTGTTAAAACAAGTTTGCGTAAACACGATATCAACAAAACAAGCAGTTGGCTGTCACGCTCTCTATGAAGGGTACGGGGCAGCAAAGCCCATCCTGGGCAGCGAGCCCGCAGAGCGCTGTGCTGCTTACATCGGGCAGCCGCGGGCTCTGTCACCCACAGTCAGTTGTCAGCGACTGACAGAAGTGGTCGTTTCTCTGTCTGTCTGTTTACCGATCACCGATCAACCGATCAAACTGTGATATTGTTTTAGTCATTTGTTCCCATTGTACCGATACCCAATTGGTGATCACTTTTCATGTGCTTCTCGCAAACTCACATCTAACTGGTCAATATGGTGAAGAAGAACTCTAACAGTAGTGACTTGCAGAACAGCGCAAACAGCTCAAATGAAGCAGAGTCACGAAGGATTAGCCGAAACGACGGCAGCAACTTTTGCATTGAAAAGATATTCTGTTATGAGCTTAAGAATGTAAGTATTGTTCACATTGAAGGCTTTTAGTTCATTTTAGTAATACCAAAAACTTGCATTTTCAGTTTCTCTACGTGGTAGGCTCTAGCAACTGCAAAACAAAACACCGAGTACTCAAGTTTGATCGACGTTTCAAAAACAACCTGGTCATCTACGACAACAAACGTGTGATGACGACGGCTGAGCTTAATGAGTACCGTGCCCAAGAGGGCTTTGATCCGCCGGCGAAGATCGAGCCAACGGTCGCATTCGGCATTGTTGGTTTTGTCCGCTTTCTCGAAGGGTACTACCTCATTTTGATCGTCAAGCGGCGTTGCATGGCCATCATCGGTCGGCATTGCATCTACAAAATCGAGGACACTACCATGATGTACATTCCCAATGAGGACCGGGCAAACGGCGAGGAGCTCAAGTACCTGCGCGTTTTCAATAACGTCGACATGAAGAGCAACTTTTACTTTAGCTACAGCTACGATCTTTCAAACACACTCCAGGTTGGTTCTTGTGTTTCCCGTACTTGTCAGTACTTATCTCATCACCTCTTCTCCTCCTCACAGTACAACCTGTCGCCCTTTTACTCGCGAGACGTCGACCAGTTCAAGTGCGGTTTTGGCCACACCAAAACACTGTGGGACATGGCGGACAGCTTTGTCAACGCAAACGAGTACGACTCCTTCAACGACAACTACGTGTACATCAACCCCAATATGAAGTTTGTCTGGAATGAGCACCTGATCACGGCGATGTGCAACGTCCACAATGACTTCTTTCTCTACATCTGCCACGGCTTCGTCAGTCAGGCGGTGATGCCGGTCAGCGGCCGCAATCTGCTCATCACGCTCATTGCTCGCCGTTCGAAAAAGTACGCCGGCACACGGTACCTGAAACGGGGCGCCAACTGTGACGGTTTCACCGCCAATGAGGTGGAGACAGAGCAGATCGTCCACGATGGCAACATCTCCTCATTTCGCTACGGCCTCTACACGTCCTTCGTTCAGCTGCGCGGCTCAGTGCCCACCTTCTGGTCGCAGAACATCGTCAAGATTGCCCCCAAGCCGCCGATCAACATCGACTTGAAGGATCCGTTTTTCGAGGCGGCGGGCAAGCACTTCAATAACCTTCTCTACGACTACGGCTCGCCGAGCATTGTCCTTAACTTAGTGAAGCGCAAGGAGAAGAAGCCACAGGAGAGCATTCTCTACAATGAGTTTGAGGAGGCAATCGAGTACCTGAACCAGTTTCTGCCCAAGCAGCACCAGATCATGCTCATCGGCTTTGACATGGCGCGAATGAACAAAATGAAAGACCAAAACGTCATCACGCTACTCTCGGAGATTGCCCTGTACACGCTGAAGAAGACGGGTTTCTTCCAGAACCGAAATATCGCCATAAACAGAGAGAGCGGCTGGCCGAAGACCTTTCCAAATTGTGGTTCCAGTTCTGAGGCGTTTAACAGCAGCAGCAGCACCTACCAGCCCATCTTCCAGACGGGCATCATTCGCGTGAACTGCGTCGACTGTCTGGACCGGACCAATACCGCCCAGTTCGCCATTGGCCGCATTGCCCTCGCCCACCAGCTCTTCACCATGGGCGTCATCGCCAAACCGGAGCTGCCCTTTGACACCGACATTGTCCGCCTGCTGGAGGAGCTGTACGAGGACCACGGGGACACGCTGGCGCTGCAGTACGGCGGCTCGCAACTGGTGCACCGCATCAAAACCTACCGAAAGATTGCGCCGCTCACCTCGCAGTCGAAGGACATCATGCAGTCGCTGTCGCGGTACTACAGCAACGCCTTCAGCGACTCGGACAAGCAGAATGCCATCAACCTCTTTCTGGGCGTCTACCAGGCCAGCCGGGGTCGACCGCTGTGGGAGATGGTGAACGACTACGCGCTGCACCACAGCTTTGCCCTCTGCGTGCCCACGTTGCCGCTGGGTAATGGGGCTGCTAATGGAAATGGTGGAAATGGTAACGGAAGTGGTGATGGCAGCCAAAACGGTCACTCCAACGCCATTGTCGTCGCCCGACGTGGCAACCAGGGCGTCCGAAATCGCTACACCAAGTGGTGGTCTGATGAGATTGCCCTCTGCCTGCCGCGGGCGGCCCGTGAGTTCTTCAAGGACTCCCATCGAGAGGACCCGATCTACGTGAAGCGCTTCCTCTCCTACGACTGGTTTTTCGACGTGCACCGCCTGCAGGAGTGCAACGTCCTCCAGGACCTCTTTCTCTTCAACATGAAGAAGTCCAAGTCGTACGTCGACGTGATGTCGGTGAAAAAGCAGGCCAACTTTCGCACGCAGAACCGCCAGTCGCTGGTGGGCATTCCGCTGAACACCGCCAGCGGCCCGAATGACGACAGCGACCCCTCTGACCTATCCGACACGGAGAACGACAACATCATCATTCGCTTTGAAAGCGACTGCCAGGGGCTGGAGCACGAGGACGGCGACGTCCACGACGGCGCCGAGTACGACTTCTCCTCTGGGGGCCACGAGTCACACGGCGTGACGCCCGACCTGGAGTCCAAGGCGAAGCAATTTAACGCCAACTGGCTGGCGCTGTCTAACCGCGACTTCACGCGACCCTCCTACGAGCGCCGCGTTCGCTCCCACTACCGCAGCCTGGTGATGAGCCCCACAAACAGCTCCCTCGGCCACAAACTGTACAGTCGCTATCTGGACTACGAGAGCTCCACCAGCGGAGAGCAGTCCACTGCTGCCGCCCACAAGTTTGCCCACTTTATAAACAGCGGCGGCAGCAGTCGTCCGACGAGCAGCGAGTCGACGAGCACCAGCGGCGGCGGCGGCGGCGGCGGCGGCGGCGGCAAGCGGCCCAGCAACAGCAGCGTCGAGCAGAGTCGACATTCGTCGCCGGCGGTCAGTCGCAGTCCGGAAAAGTCCACCGTTAATGTTGCCGTCAGTAGCAGTTCTCGTCACTTGCGCCACTACTTTGATCCACTGCGACACTACCGCCGCTACTTTGCCAACAACTGAACTGAAGACCGGTTGACTCACTGAAAGTGGTTGGCACATTCCCCCCCTTTCCCCCCGTTTTGAGCTTAATCCTGGCAACCTTGTCACCGGCGCAAGCCAATGGTTACGCATCTTTCCCCTCTTCTCCTTTACTCACTCACTCTCTTTTCTGTCTTTAATTTTATAATTTTATATTTTTTTAACGCGGATTTGTGTCCTTAACCGCTCAATTACCTCACTGAATGAACGTGTGTGTGTGTGTGACATTGCTGCTTGTGTCACATGAATTAAAAAGTACAGTTTTTTAAGCAACCAGTTCAACACACTGAGGCAGAAAGGCTGGCAGAGTTGACCCGCCGCCGCAAACGGCTGGCGGAGGTAAGCGTGACAAGTTATATTCGCATCTCACAGGTAAAGATAATTGGCAAAGACAGTGCAGTAGAAAAAGAGAGTACTTTTTCTATTGCCGCCGCCGCCAAGGCAAGGCAATCGCACTGCTAACCGCCATCGAGACTGATTAGCTGGAAATGCCATTTTTAGCAGTCACAGTTGAGGCGGCGGCGGAAAAACGGCAATGTCATCGCACAAACAGCACACACACATTGAGACTACAAGTTGAGAAAGTGCACCACAAAAAGTAGCCCAAAAATCGAGTACAAGTGCTTTAGAAAATTTTGTAGAAGTCTGAATAGTAACAGTAGTTGTTGTTGTTTGCAGTAGCTTGATTAATTGACTCTGAACTCAATACTAAAAAAGTGTAACTGCAAGCTGTTGAACTGAATAACCGCTATTTGCTCACTTTAATTAGGTTATATTTAAAGAAAGCTGTTGCTGACCATTGCTCACTCATGGCAAAACGGATGTGGCAGCTGTTGGGAGATGTCAGTGAAAGATAACCGATCAACTGAACTGATTTAGGGGGAGCAAGTAAAAGTCATTAATATCAAAATTGAATTTGGTGTTTTTGTAGCATTTTTTGCGTTTTCTGGGCATCAAAACTTGTTGCATTTTGTGTGTTTCTCCGTTGTACTGCATTTTATTAGTAATTAGTTGTCAGGAAAAAGTTTTAGATTGGGTACTTAGTGCAAACACAAAATTGTGATGGTAGTGGCGGTATTTGCCAGGAATAGAAAAGAAGGCTCTAATAGTACGGCGTAGATTAGACTGCATCAAACAATAGTGGTTCCTCGGACAACCAGAACGGTGATTGTCGCCCATAGAGATGCTCGTCGGCTTTTAGCACCTTCCTGCTGTTTAGCGTTGCAATGGGCATTAGCAACTAAAGGTGTGCAGTGTCGCTCACAACGACAATCTCCCAGTGACAATCAACAAGATTGGACAACAAACAAAGAAAAAGCAGAGGGAACTTACATCTGTGCAACCTAACAATTGCAGATTTGTGTGTGTGTGTGTGTTTGTGCTCTTGCTTTCTTGTTGCACGTCTTAACTATTGCCAATCGGTGATCTGTTGAAGCGCACCTCTTTTTCTTCCTCTTCTTGATCATTAAGTTTGAGCTGCAAAGTCATCTTTTTGTGTGGTCTCGTTACAATTTATACCTGTCAACAGCCTAATTTCAAGAAAAAAAACAAGCAATGTCTGAATTTGACGTCGAAAGTCCGCAGGCAAAGGACTTCCCGATGCCTAGCACCAGCACATACGTTGCCGGTCCGGCAAGCAACAGGGCCGAGCCAATGAACAGCAAGCCTAGCGTCAACTACACCTCCTTTGTGCGCTTCTGCATGTATATCTTCTTCATCTTCTACCTCATTTTCGCCCTGTTGATTCTCTTCTCCGGCCGCGTCGACCTGGTTCACAAGGAGCACCTGATCAGTCAGGTGCTGGAGCTGGACATGGAGGAGATCAACATTCAGCGGATGTTCATCATGAATGCGCTCTTTCTCTTTGTGGCGGCTACGCTGGGACTGTTCAGCTTCTACTACCACAAGTACACTATCTTTCTCTCGGTAAAAACTTTTGCATGTCTTTATATTCATAGCATCTAATTGGTGACAACCTAACGGCTACCTTTTTTACCACTCCATTGTTGTTTGCAGTTTTCTGTTGGCCTACTCTTCACAATGATCTTTGCTTGTGTTTCACTGAAGTACAACTACACTGCGTACAAGAAAATGGTAAGATTGTTTTTTTTCAGTTTAACCGCCCCGCTAATTTGTTGTTTGTTTACTTTTGCCTTCTTCTTTTCAACATCCGCTTAAATAGGGAAATGCCATTGAGCACAACAACACTGTTAGTGTGCTCTTTGACAGCAAAATGGCTCACTATGATTGGTTCAACATGGCCGATGAGCAGTCAAAGTTCATTAATAAGTTCCAGTATGAGTTTAACTGTTGCGGCGGCAGTGATGGCTACGTTGGCTGGAGCAAACAAAAACCAAGCACTCTGCCCAATGGAGCTTTTCCCGTCAGCTGCTGTCATATTCATTTTAACACAGACATGAAAGTCAAGTGGTGCTCGTATCAGGATGTGGAAACAAAGGTAACACAACCCTTTTTAGCTTAAAAACTAATTCATTTGAGCTGAATAGCTAGTTATTTTGCATTCTATCTATCATTGTTTTTTGGTTACTTTTAAGTTTTTCCTAGTATTTTCATTTTTGTCAATAAGTGAAAGTTTAAACATGTAAACAATTTTGATAGTCTAGCCCACCTACGCGCAAACAATTGCTTTCACTTACTTTGTCTACAATCAAAACTGCAGAACTAGTTATTAATAGCAAATTATGCCTTGTGGCATATCAGTTTGAAAGGTATCTTATGGTTCAGTTAATTGGACGCTCATTTTGTACTTAGCCAATGCAATTTTGTTTTGATATTAACAGTCTAAAAGTATACACATTAACAGCTAATTAGCTCCACTAAGCAAACTGCAATGTGGATTTTGCAAAAAGGTTTGTTTTTAAGCTGTGTTTGCATTACAGTTGCATGTGGCAAAAAATATTTACCGACAATTTATTAATAATTTATTGTTTTGTTAATTGAAACTGTCGGCAGTACTTGCCCAAAAAAGTTTAAAAACTCAATTAAATTTTTAACAATACGATGTTTAGCAATTTATTTTAAAACAAACTAATTAACATTTTGTTTATTTTACAGAAATCTTGTCCGGCAGCGTTCACCGGTCATTTGGTTGCTGTGCAAAACACCTTGAAGACGCAAACGATGCTGTTGCTAGAAATTGTTTTGACTCAATTTCTCACCATAACTGTTTTCTTTTTTCTTATTTTCCGTGGTGAACGAATGTTTGTCAGCCGCTCTTAATAAAACGGTAGCTGTCGCACCTTTAAAAAGGACACATTTACAGTTACAGTGCAAATATGGCAGTGAATTAAGCATTTTACACTTTTATTAGTGCTGCAATGGACAATCAGCAACAGATAACATTTTTGAACATTTTATTTTTACCGCACAAATTTTGTTATAACAGGTAATTTATAAACTTTAATACTTTTTGTTTATCAAATTTTTTTACAAAATAAAACTAAAATCATTGTGTTTGAAATAAAATGTTTTTATTTATTTTTTGATAAAAAAAATGCAAGTGTCTAATTATTAAACATAAACATTTCCGGTCATTTAATCTATGTGAGCATAGCATTGTCACAATTTTGTCAAAAACAAATTATTTTTTTTAGCATTGTGCATACGACAAACAGTGGTTTTTACTGCAATTGTTACTGAAATGAATAACTTGGTAGATCTTCAAAAACTTTTTGCACAAAATAAAACTGCAATTACAATGATAATGCACAACAGTTTTGATTTTACCGGTTTTTTGTGTGCCGGCAAACAATCAACAGATTATAAGAAAATTTACGACCTTTTGTTTATTTCAACGTACACATAATGTTTCAATAAAACTGTTGTTTTTGGAGTTTGATAAATAACTAACTGAGAAACAGTCAAACAATGTTAAAATATCAAGCTACTCACAACTAGATTTTGTGCCTGCCTGATTGGTTGACCAAAAAAGAAAATCAATTTGGCGTTTCCCGTTTTGATTATCGATGCACAACTTCACAACGGCTTTCAAAAGTGAAAGTTTGAGCATTGTCTGCTGACGCATCAACTAATTGAATACTGAAATTGAGCTGTAAAGTGAACACTGACAGTGAGATCATCTCTGTCAGGCACCACATGATTGTTATTTTTCACCTGTTCAGCTGGCTAGTTAGACACCAACGCACAATACTGTTGTGCCGCTCTCTCAACACAAATAGGGTGTCAGTTTGTCATGTTCGTTTTCGCAATCAATTGAGTAGTCTATCAACGATGAGAAGAAAACAAAAAATTAATAAAGTTTAAAATTTTTGTTTAAAACTCATTTACATATGTTAATGCCGACTTTTACTACTGAAAGCACCTGACAGGAAAATGAATGAAGCAATGAATAAGTGAGTGTTTGACAACAAAAAAAAGAATGAGAACAGCAGTGGTGTCCACTGATGACCAGTGGACAGTGAGCAACCTACTACTACTACTTCTGGGTCAGACATTAGTGCTGAGATGATCAAGAGGCAGGCTGACAAGTCGGGGCGACAAATGCAGGTTGCTTAGTCGTCAGCATTGCTCACTGGACACTGTTTTGCTCCTTTCATTTTTGGGACGCACGCACAGGCATAAACTCATTCATTCACTGACACTTGCATTTGCACTCACCCATTGACCGTCTTCACTTTGCCAGTGTGCATAACTTATCTCCCAGTGATATCAGGCAGAAATTGTTGCACACAGCACCGACTATGTGAGCCTGTTGCGGGACACACTGCCAAATGGGAAGACGCCGCAGTCGCCGCATCTTTACCGACTACCTCACTACTGACACAACGTCGAAAGTATGCGGTATTGAGACGGACGGCTTTGCCTGCTTAGGCGTACTGTATGATCAAACTGCCCGTTAGTGATTGTCGATAAAAGCAAAAACTGATAAAGTGATAAACAAATTCAAAAGATGAATGAATGCAAAGAAAAAAAGTGATAGTTAAAGAAGAGAGCAAACTGAAATCAGTTTTCCCCTCTCTACCAGTGCATCACCGTTTGTTGTCGCACTTTTCTCTTTTTCTCCCTCTCTCTCTCTCTCTCTTTCTCACTTGCCCTTGTGTGCCTGACTAACCTGGTGAATCTCTTCTCTCTCTCTCTCTCTTTCTTCCTTTCGGTTTTACTATTAATTTTCTCCCAGTGCTCTCACTTGCGCGGTTAGCCTGTGCTCTCCTCTTAGCTCTTTCACTGGTTTACAGAATGCCTGCCCGTCATATAAAAACGTTTGCAAAGCGGTAATGCCGTTTTTTGTTTTGTCCAATTAGCAGTCGACCTGCATGTGTGCTTGAAAAAAAGCTTATTTTTAATAACTGTAAACCGGCCATGTTTTCCAGGGTGCCACATGTTTTGTTTAAAGCAATTTTAAATTTTGTTTTTGAAATGAAAAAATGAAAAAAAAATAAAAATGTTAACACTTTTAAATCAAGTTACTGTTAAAAAGTTCAGATTTGTTTGTTTGATTGTGTAGTGTGTGTTTATTATCGTCTAAATAGTTGTTCAACATAACGCCAACTAATACTTTTTAACAACACCTCAAAAACGCCATTTTAAAAATGGGGTTTTTAAAATCACTAGTCGCCTCTGCTGTGCCGTTAATGCCAATCATGTCTTTGTTGTCAATACCGAGAGCGGATTTCGGTCAGCACACCGTTCCCTCCAAAGTGCAGTTTAAACTTCACAGCATTCGTGACAAATGGGACACTGAGTATGATTTCGTCATCATCGGCGGTGGATCAGCCGGTGCAGTGCTTGCCAATCGTCTTTCCGAAGACCCACACGTTCATGTGCTACTGTTAGAAGCTGGAGGGACGGAAAATATGATCAGTGATATACCGCTATCCTACTTGAACCTTCAGCAAACGCCAATGGACTGGGCCTACAAAACAGAACCACAAAAAGCGTCTTGTTTTGGACACAAAAATCGGGTAAAGTACATTTTTTATTAAAATTGTTTGTTGATAGTTTATCTAAAAACAATCAATTATAAATACAGTTTTAAATTTATTTGTAAACATCTTTCAATTGTGAGGGTAGAATAAGAAAACTTGGTAAAATTCGCATTGTGTGGCCATATTACGCCATCAATCATTGGAAATTGACAACTTGTTGACAGCATATTGATAGATCGATTGAATGATTGAGCAGTTGCATAATGACCAACAGCTGGTTGGCAAAAAAATGTATAACAGAAAAATTTAAAACTGTTTTAATTTATTATCAAAAAAATGAACACCATTGTGTAAATACTAAAAATAAATATTTAATTTAGACATCAACTAGTCAGTGGGCAAACTTGATTTGTTAATATAGAACAAGAAACAATACAGTTTTTGCCAGTTTACTGTTTTAAATATACAAATTAAAACTTGAGATTTATTATGTGCAAAAACATAAATAGGTTGTTGGAAAAACATAATTCAATGTTACTGACTGTTTATTTAATAATATTTCAAGTTTATTAACAAGAATTGCTTTCAACTTAATGAATCATTTTAACAACTTTACTAAACTGATAATTGACAAGTGTTTGAAGCTAATCAGATGATAACCAGCAATTAACTAGCCCATCAATAAGATTAATGAGTACTGCTAAAACAAAGTTAATTGCAGCACTTTCAATAACCTTCTAGTTAAGTAAATAGACTTTTCACAAACATTTTAATAAATTGTTTTAATTCTTATTTATTATGTGTTTGTCAAACTTTTTTGCAGTTAAGTTAAACATATAATTTTTTTATTCTCAATGATTGTGTTTTTTAAACATTTTGCGCACGATTTTTTCAGAAAAAATAATTTTTATTGTTTGTTTTTTAATAGTTTTTGTAGCGCATTAATCAATTTTATTCAATAAAATTATTGTAGTTACTCCTTGTGTGATCGTTCTAATAAAAAAATATAAAATGTTAAGGTTTACATAAATTGATTTTAAAACTTGTGATTTACTGATAGTAATAGCATAAATTGTTTTTAGTATTTTTATAACATAACAATCACAATAAAAAACTTTCTTTTTTTCAATGCAAATTTGATTTGACATATTGTCAGATTATATGCATGTGGTCATTCATTCAACTTGTTTATTTATTTTTAAGAATACGGAAGAAAATGACGTGTTTCGCTTTTCTGAATTTTAGTATTTTCATTAAACAAAACAAATTTTAACAGCCTTACAATTATGTTATTGCATAAAAATTGTTCTTTTAAAAGTGAACTAATAGACAGACAAATTTCATTTTTCCCATTGTTTTGTCCAAATTTGCTTTATTTTTAGTTGTTGGAGCGTCAATCAATTAGCGACAATCATTAACGTACAGTTTTAAGGGAATAGTGGTCACACATGAGCTGCACGTGGTGATAATTGTTGATATCACTGCACTTTTTGTCATTTATATATTTTCCGTTTACCTGCTGGTCAGCTGAGATCATCTACTTTAGTTGGTGCTGCTGTTTTATAAATAGCGTTGCTTGCCAGTTCTCTAACTGGCAAAGACAGGCTAGACTATCATCACTCACCCACAGACAGACAGACAGTTTAGCTTCTTTACAAGTTACTGCTGTTCTGCTGCTGTGAATCTCAAAGCAGTCAGTGCTGCCCAGCTGACCACCATTGTCAGTGTCTGCCCAGAAAACTGCATTGTGCACTGTTAGTTGGTAGTAGTTTAAACCTTACTCTCCCTTTTTCCCATGCTATCCACCCTGTCAAGAAAAAAGGAGAAAGTGAAAAGAAGACAGAATCAGCCAGTTGGGCTTAGTGGTGATTAGCCGGAGAACGAACGGCTGTGAAATGCTGATGAGCGCAGATGATAGTCTTATTGCCCGTGCTTTATCGGTGAGCTGAGTGCCCGCAAAAGAGCGCGGCGGGTACGGCTTGTGCCCGCTCGCGATTACACCTGCACACTGGACACTAGCAATGGTTTGTGTGTGTGATCTCGCCCAGTTAAACATCAGAGAAAGCAACAACAACAGCAGCTAATGCAGACCGACAACGAGAGTAAAAGCTCATTTGCGCAATTGAGGTCAGAGCAACGGCGATCTGGAGGAAGACTGTTTGAGGAAGATCCTCATTTTGCTCATTACCATCTCCGGCAGGTTGTAAAAACGGAGAGGCAAACAATAAAATGAACTCTACCGTTGATGAACATCAACATGCAATCATCACGAACGATGCTAGTAGAATTTTTGTTGATTACACATTTTATTGTTTTGCATACTTTTCTTTTGCTTTCCTACCTTTTTTTGTTTGCAGATGTTCATTCAGTTTGTTGTATTTGCCTAAATTAGACGCCTTAGGTGCGGAATGGTTGTGGTTAGCAAAAAATGAATAAAAAAGAGTATTCAAATGCACTGAAAATGTAAATATCTACTTTATCGCTTTGATACACTTTGCAGACATTACTATTCTTTTTTTGGTGATCAAATAAATGTTTCTAAATCAGATAACTGCTTAACCGGAAAGTGCAATACCAATAAAATGGAAAGTGTTCGACAGAAAAAGACGCTTGAGGAATGCTGATTGAGCTATTAAGTTTAATATGAATACTCTGAAATCTCAATTATCTTTTAATACACACACATTGTTGTGCGTAATATTTAAATACGGCACATTATTGTCAACGGCAGAAACGGTAATGCCGATCATCACCGCTCACACACGAGTTCATCATCACCATCTGTTGATTACACTGCCCCAAATGTAATGAGCCATGATACCGCAGACTAGTAAAAAGTGAAAAAAAGAGAGAGAGAGAAAAGATGTCAAAAGAAGAAGAAGAAGAGTTGCTTTTTGAGTAGATGAGGCACGGTAAGAAAAAACAAAAGTGGAACTATTAATAGTAGTAGTGGCGGTAATGTTTTCCCCTCGAGTGACACTGTGCAGTGGAGTGGTGCCCATGCTGCTGTGTTTGATTGAGACAATTGGGCGCAATTAGCGCAACATAGGCAACTGATGAACGCTCAGTAGTAGTAGTTGGGCAATTAGATGACACTGACGGTGGCCATTGTCTCTGTCACCTGCCCCTTTTTACAATGCGACAGTTTCCATTGTTCAAAAACACACACACACTAATTCATGAGCCGCACTTGTCTAACCACTTGATGGACGGTCGCGTTTTTATTTTTCTTTTTCCTGAATTTTGCTTTTTTAAATGGTTGCACATATGTCAGTAGTCTCATCATATTTTTTAATCTTTTTTTCTAGCAAAGTCGCTGGCCTCGCGGTAAAGTACTCGGTGGGTCAAGTGTACTCAATGTTATGCTTTACGTTCGCGGAAATCGAGCCGACTACGATGACTGGGAACGCAATGGAGCCTATGGATGGGGCTGGAAGAATGTGTTTCCCTACTTCCTTAAAGCTGAAGACCAGACAGCTCCAGAGTACTTGCGCAGTGGTAAAGAGAATGCTTTGACTTAAAAGCTTAAACAGCTGAATAACTAACTTGAATGCATTGAAAATTGCACAGGATTTCACGCGAGAGGTGGTCCGCTCACCGTTTCTAAGCAGTCATATTTGACACTGGTTGGACAAGCATTTCCAAAAACTGCCGCATATCTTGGTTACCCAGTTCTTGATATCAATGGGCCAGTGCAAACTGGTAAGCAACTACAAATAAAAATCAATATTTAAATTTTTAAACTGGTTTTGGTTTTCAGGTTTCACAATTCCTCAAGGAACCACAAGGGACGGATCTCGTTGTTCAACTTCAAAGGCATATCTTAAACCTGCAAGACATCGGCCCAATTTGCACATTGTCACTTTTGCCCATGTCACAAGAGTGAGCGCAACAAATTTTTATATTTTAAAACAGCTTTAATTTAAAATGTTTTGTACTTTAGATTATTTTTGACGAGCGAAAAAGGGCTGCTGGTGTTCAATTTGACAGATTTTCAATGTCATACCTAGTTTATGTTCGTCGAGAGGTGATTTTAAGTGCGGGTTCAATTGGGTCTCCGCAGCTACTAATGTTGTCTGGTATTGGACCGCGGAAACATCTTAGAGAAATTGGAGTAAGATTTGTGCAAAGAGTGAATCTTGATTATAAAATAACCTAATCACAATTGCCATATTAGGTACCTTGCATTTCTGATTTGCCAGTCGGTGAAAACCTGCAAGATCACATTTACTCAGGAGGACTTCACTTCGCCATCGACCATCCGACGACGTATTCAAGTGAACGAACCTTTAATGCCGCTAATGTTGCCTTGTATTTAACGACTGGAACTGGTATGTAACAAAACACTGACCAAGTCAAAATTGTTAACGACAAATCACTTTATTTATGCAACAATCAGGTCCACTTACATCACTGGGAGCCGTAGAAGGGCTGGCTTTTGTGAACACCAAGTTCGCCAACATCACCGAAGACCGTCCTGACTTTGAGATTCACCTCTCCTCGGCGACTATCACCTCAAAGCACGGCGAATGGCTGCGCAAGTACACCAACGTCAACGACCGCGTGTACAGCAAGGTGTACGCGCCCTTTGAGGACACGGACTCCTTCTCCATGAACCCGGTGATGTTGCGCCCGAAGAGCCGAGGCTTCATCCGGCTGCGCTCGGCCAATCCCCATGAGCACCCCATCATCGACCCGCGGTACTTCACCCACCCGGAGGACATTCACGCCATGGTGGAGGGCATGAAGCTGTCCATTGCCATAGCGCAGACGCCGCCGATGAAGCGCCTCGGCGCCCGCCTCTTCAAGACCAAATTTCCCGGTTGTGAGCCGTACACCCTGCTCAGCGATGAGTACCTCGCCTGCGTGGCGCGGACGGTGACGCAGACGATCTACCACCCGGTGGGCACCTGCAAGATGGGCTCCTCCTACGACCCGACCGCCGTCGTCGACCCGAAGCTGCGCGTCTACGGCGTGTACAATCTGCGCGTGGTGGACGCCTCCGTCATGCCGACCATTGTCTCGGGAAACACCAACGCGCCGACGATTATGATCGCGGAGAAGGCCGCAGATATGATCCGACAGACGTGGACGCGAATGTGATGCTTTGCTGGCAGTTGCTGGCATGCTTTGCTTTGCTTTGTTCTGGTTCATTGTACAAATACTTTTCATATGTTTTTACCTTGCATTTGTATATACACTTGTTTCCATTTTTCTGGTCCTTTTTTTACCTCAATTATCATCAATATGTTGTTGTAATTTTTTCTGTGATGCAATTGCCAATGTTTAAAGTCGCAATAGTGTAATTAAACCAATAGCTTTATTTTTGTGACAGTTAACTTTTTATATTTTGTTAAATGGAGTTTAATAAAAAGCAATGAAATAGTTTTTATTGATTGAGTAAGTTTTTAAGTTTGTTATTAGTTATAATATGTAGTCAAAGTTAGGAATTTTTTACATCATTTTTTAACAAAATTGTAAAAAATTTTTTTAATTTTTTGTTTTTTATTTCCATTTGTAGCATAAAGATGGAGCCAAGTAGCTTTTATATGTTTTTTAATTACTTTTGTAAAATGTAACAATTTGTAAATCTAGAAGTTATCAGTGAAGTTTTTTTGAATTTTTTATAAACTTGTNATTAGTTATAATATGTAGTCAAAGTTAGGAATTTTTTACATCATTTTTTAGCAAAATTGTAAAAAATCTTTTTAATTTTTTGCCTTTTATTTCCATTTGTAGCATAAAGATGGAGCCAAGTAGCTTTTATATGTTTTTTAATTACATTTGTAAAATGTAACAATTTGTAACTTTAGAAGTTATCAGTGAAGTTTTTTTTGAATTTTTTATAAACTTGCTGGATATCTGTTTTTTAAGGAAAACTTTGCACTTACATAACTATTGAATACCCTTAACAACAAATCAAATCAATTAATATCTGTCCAACAGGTCAACTATCTCATTTTTTAGATGTCTAGAATGTTTTATTTTCATTTTTGTGCCAACTATCCAAAAATAAGTTTTAAATATGATTTTTTAGTTAACCACTTCCAATAACTTTCAAGTTAAGTTGTTATCACATTTGCCATAATTTAGTGCTTATCAATATTGTAAACTCAATTTTATTTGTCTAATTTAAGATAAATAAAACTGACACTGGCGTCATTGAACAGCACACTGTAAGCGTGAACAGTAACTGGTGGTAGTTGTCGGAAACACCGGTGATCTAATGCCAACTACCAGTAAGAAAGCTCCACTAAATACCAAAGTTGTATTTTACTGTTCATGACTCAGATGCGTGTTTATCTCATGTTTACTGGCTGGCATCGACAGTGGAAAACTTAACCCATTGATACTGTTTGCACAATCTCATTACAACACGACGGTAATAAAATTATCATTCGCCAACTTTTTAATACTCGACCAGTTTTATTGCCAACTAAATTATTTTACATTTTATATATAATTTAATCACTTGAAAAACCATTAGGTAAAAGGTGCAAAGAAGAGAAGGTGAAAGGACAATGAGGGTGCTCGTAAACTAGAGCATCTGTTTTGTGTTTGTCATCAAGCCCCCGTTCTTATCTACTGCCGTCAGCCTTATCAGAACAGACAAGCCACTGCGTGGCACTACAGTGGCAGCACTCACGTAGGCAAACGGCTGACATACTGACTATTTTCGCTCATCTCACCCAAACGTACTTGCCGTCAGATAGTGTGGGCACACTAGATCATAGCACCCAAGCCGTCCAACGGAGATTATTCAATCAGCCGCCTAATTTGTTGTTGATACCTACGTCTTCCGACTGCTTCCTTTCTCTTCTGTTCGAGTGCACTGTGTGCAAACACGCGGCCAACACACTGAGTCAGTCAATACATCGTCCGAGATTGTTTGCTTAATTTGTTTTTTGCTAATTGTATAAATATGATTTCATTAGCTTGGCATTTCAGTTGGGCAGATAATATGTGTACGGTAAATCAGTGTATTTGTTTTGAGTGAAAATACTAACACAGACGCACATCAGCAGATGTACCTCTTTTGGACGATGATTATTAATAGCAGCTTACGTTTGTTCTTGTACATGGTCAGTCACAGACATTTGCCTCTGTGTACTTTTGATCACTTCATTGGATTTAGAACTAACAGGCAAAGTGACAAACTCGTAAACAAGCTGGCTGCAAATGAGTTTGTTGATTACTTTGATGCGACGCAGTGCGTCAATGTCGGTCTTAAAGGGCAAACTACCTTTCAAACGACATAGCTAAACACTGATTATGTGCTTTTGAGGTTGAGGAAAATACTTGCTGATTTAAAAAAACTGAAAAATGAAAAAACGACAGTGACTTTTTACAAAGTCATTGACGTGTTGGCTAACGTCATTATACAAAAAAACAGTTTAGATTAAATTTGTTAGTAGAAACGTACAGTTAAAAGTTACTTTAAATTATTTTGCATGTATTTTATCATTTTTTGAGTTCTCACAAAACCAACATCTATGTAATTTAATTTTACATGCTAATGTCATTTGTGCATTTAATAATCACAAAATTGAATTAAACTAAAGCGCGTAGCCATAAAGTAACAGTGCATTTCAGAAATGCAATTAAAATTTGTTGTTTTGCATGCAAATCTAAACAAAACTAGGATTACCGTTTTGCTTATTATAAAAATCAGTTTTTTGTACTTTTATGAAACTTTGGTATACAGTGATCCAGTTTCAAATTGTCATTTGAGCTAGCATGTACCTTTGGTTTTTACTGTAGTATTGTCTTACAAATGTTTCAGTTTTTTGACATTTTCTATTGGAATTGCCTGACGAGTAGCGGCAAGTGTCCAGTGAATAGAGAATACGTTTGTGCTGTTTACCCAAATCCTTTTTCTATTCCCTACATTTACCTAATCTGCCAACCGGTCTGCCAACACCAATTTTGGTGAAGCTCGGCAGATAGCCAACAACAACGACAGCTAATGTTAGCTAATGTTGAGCAAATGTACGGTGTTGTTGTGCCCACCCGGCCTGGTCGGCTCACAACCTGACTTCTCAGGCCATCTTTATCAGCTGCCCTGTCGGCACCTCTACTACTACTATTGCTGCTGCTGTTGATAAGGAGGTGCTCATTCGATGTCACCTATTCCGTGTGTGTGTGTGCACTGTCAATGGAAAAAAGGGGAAGGCAATAGGCGAGGAAACTGAGTGAACCTCAATTTGATCAGTGGGATGAAGTATAAAATAGTACAGGCCATCAGTCACCATCAGTTTACACTGTGCCCTACCAGTTGCTTCTCACTAGCGTTTTTATTTTTTATTTTAATTTTTGCCAACTTTTTCTGAAAATTACAACTAAGGGTTCGCCTGTATTTGTTTGGTAAGTTAGTCGCCTGTCAGATCGATGCAACTTGTTTGCCGTATGTACTTGTTTACTTTCATTGTGCGTAACTGCCAGTGCGCTAAACTGGTTGGCCTTGAGTTTGACGCTTTGCTGTTGTGTTATGTTGTTGTTGTTATTGGTCCGTCTCATGACACTCACTGTTCACTGACTGGACTGGCGAGTTTTCCACTGCCTGTAGCTTCAAGAGCAGTGCTTCTCCCTTTGTGCATTGGGAGACAGCAGCCAAGTTGTACTTTTTCCTTGCTCATAACACTCAATGGCACTTTCCTTTCGATTGTACTTTTACTAGAAAAAAAGTACATAGAGCAATATTTAGCAGCGAACTTTATTTTAGTGACCAGTTCAAGTACTGTGTTTTCCTTTGCGTTTCCTTAGCATGTTTTGCCTTTAATTCATCCAATGTGAATTGATCTCCTTGTTGACTCGTCTTATGATCTGTTAACATTAGCGTTGCCAAAGCAACTGCTTTCTATTCTGAATTATATGGGTTTACTTTTAACATTAAACGAGTTCAATTTAAATTGAACTATTCTTCGTAACATCGTGTGTAAGTGCAGTCTGCTTTTACATTGTCAACACAACAGATCAAATTGAGAACAGTTGAGCTTAAAGTACCTTTTTTAGAGTTTGTTTTTGTCATAACTTAGTTTATTTAGTTGTTCAAAATATATAAACGCATGATTTTAAGTTTTTTATTCATTGATGACTAATCAAGCTTTAAAACTTTACTGCTATTAAAGCTAAAATTGTTGGTTAAATTAGAAACCATTTAAAGTTTTTAATATGACAATCATTTAATTGTAATGTTTTGTTTTGTTTTTTAGTTTATTTCAACACAGTGATTTGAAATTTGGACACACCATTAACAAACAGTCCTCAAAATGCTTTCAACAAATTTTCGTATTATTCCCCGCGCTATTCGCGTCATGACCAAACCCCGTGTCACATCAGCAACTATTGGTCAGTTGTCTCCTATTCACAGGTAAAACGGATGACAATTTATTTAATTCAATATGTCATTGCAATACACTTTTTATATGTTTTACAGAGAACTACACAACCGACCTAAACACCAGCAAGTGGTGGTCTCTTCAGTGGCGCCGCCACAAGATCCTCATTTTGTTCCACTTGGCAGCAGTGCTTTCAAGTTGAACGAAATGAAAGTATTCCAAGACGAGCAAATCATTCAGGTAAAATTTAAATGTTGCTATTCAGTTGCACACACTAAATGGCTAAATAAAAAATATGTCAATTAAGCTAAAGTTTAACTTGTACTAATTTTCCAATTTTTTCAATCACTTCTAGCTCGCTTTTAAATCCGGTCAAACTGTCAACTACACAATGGCATGGCTTCGAAACCTGTGCTCCTGTTCAGAGTGCATCTCTAGCAAATTTCACTGCAGTCCAACGCATAGTGGCGCAAAACAGTCGGTTAGTTTGGTTGATGGCCAGCTCAGTGTTGCCCGTTTCAGCACCACTGAAGAAGAACTCCTCATTGAATGGCTGGACACTGAGTACAAAAGTCACGTCAGCACATATAATCTCAAGTACCTGAGTTTGTACGCTAATAAAAGCACTTAAACAAGAGCTAATATTATTACGTTTAAAAACTACAAGTATTTTAAAAACAAAAATTTACTAAAACAGTGTACCTAGAACATGAAACCAGTTTTTTACAAAAACTGAAATTTTAAGTCAAACCTTAATGTCGTTTT